ATGTAGGCAGATGTTAGATCGGTCTGTGATTCTATTTATTGATGACATCCTGCTCGATTCCAAGACCCAGGAGCTGGATGAGGAGCATTTGAGGGAGGTATTGGAGACTCTGGGGGGGGAAGATTGTATGCAAAGTTCTCTAAGTATGAGTTCTAGTTGCACGAGATGCAGTTTCTAGGGCAATTTCTCAACCAGTACGGTATTCTGGTCAATCCGGCCAAGGTTGAGGCCGTGATGAGATGGGAGGTTGCGAGGTCTCCATCTGAGATTTAGAGTTTCCTTAGGTTGGCAAGTTGCTATCGGAGATTCATTCAGGATTTCTCCAAGATAGTGGTTCTTCCGACAAAGAAGACTGTCACTTTTCGCTGGGGGCCTGAGCAGCAGGTACCTTTTGAGACCTTGAGACATAGGCTATGTCAGGCGTTGATTTTGACCCTACTTGAGGGTGTTGAGGATTTTATGGTTTATTGTGATGCATTGATCACGGATTTGGGTGCAGTTCTGATGTAGAGGGGTCGCGTTATTGCTTACGCTTCGAGGCAGTAGAAGCTTCATGAGGCGAGTTACCTAACACATGATTTGGAGTTGGGGGCTGTGGTGTTCGCCCTCAAGGTTTGGCGACATTACCTCTATGGGGTCCACAGTACTATTTACACGTATCATAAGAGCCTGAGTTATTTGATGGATCAACCGAATCTAAACATGAGGCAGTGCCGGTGGTTGGATGTGGTGAAGTATTATGATTGTGAGATCCTATACCATCAGTAAAAAGCCAATGTGGTGGCCGATGCTCTCAACCGCAAGGAGGTCGCGGCTCCGATCATGGATATTTGTTTGAAGATGACAGTGATTACTCCACTCTTGGAGCAGATTCGAGAGACTCGGGTTGAGGCTATGAAGTAAGAGCATCGGAAGAGTGAGTGCATAGTGGGTCAGGTGGCTTCCTTGGATTATGATAGTTGGGTGTTATGGACTCTCCATCGGAGGGTGTGGGTTCCTTATTGGGGTGGTGCATGTCACGTTCTGATGGAGGAGACGCACAAGTCGAGGTTCTCTATCCATTCCGGAGCAACAAAGATGTATAGAGATTTCTGCCATGATTATTGGTGGCCCTGTATGAAGCAGGATGTAGCTTGGTATTTAGAGAGGTGCTTAACTTGTAGAAAAGTCAAGGCTGAACATCATCTACCTCATGGCAAGATGCAATCTTTAGACATCCTCGTTTGGAAATGGGAAGAGATTACCATGGATTTCATAACGAAGTTGCCTCGGATAGTACGTAGAGTGGATTCGACATGGGTCATCATGGATCGATTGACCAAGAGCGTGCATTTCATTTCGATTCAGAAGAGTATCTCTGACGAGAAGTTGGCCGACATTTACATTAGAGAGGTTGTGGCACGACATGGGATGCCGGTTTCAGTGGTTTCAAACATGGATGTCTAGTTTACTTCCAGGTTTTGGAAGAGGTTTCACGAGGATTTGGGTACTCGTCTGTACTTCAACATGACTTTTCACCTACAGACTATCCAGACCTTAGAGGATATGTTGCAGGCATGTGTATTGGATTTCAGTGGCAGTTAGGATACGTATCTCCCTTTGGCGGAGTTTTTATATAACAACAGTTATCATGCCATCATCGATCGACCTCCTTTTGAGATGCTCTATGGGAGAAAATGCAGGACCCCGATATTCTTAGGTGAGGTCGGTCAATGAGTCATGGGGATTACCGAAGTGGTACTCAAGACTACCGAGTTGATTCAGCAAGTTTAAAGTAGACTTCAAACAACTCAGAGTCGGCAGAAGAGTTATGCCGACAAGCGTCAATCATATCTGGAGTTCCAGGTTGGGGATATGGTTCTCCTGAAGGTGTCACCTTGGAAAGGTGTCATCCGATTCAGGAAGAATGGAAGTTGGGCCCTAGGTACAACGGTTCTTTCAGGATTTTGGCCCGGATGGGCCAGGTTGCTTATCGATTGGATCTTCCGGAGGAGCTTAGTCAGATCCATGACACGTTTCACGTCTCTCAGTTGCGGAAGTGTTTGGTGGATGATTCTGCAGTCATTCAAATGGAGGATATTCAGGTGGATGCTCGTCTTAATTATATCAAGAGACCAGTGGCGATCCTTGACCGAAAGACGAAAACCTTGAGGAACAAGATTGTTGAGTCGGTGAAAGTCCAATGACAGCACCGCAAGGGTTCAGAATGGATACCGGAGCCTGAGAATGAGATAAGGGAGCATTACCTAGAGTTATTTGTGGCAGCGGACTTCGAGGATGAAGTCTGATTTAGTGGGGGGAAATTATAACACTGCATTTCTAGGTTTTTCCCTCAAGCCCTTCATTTTTAAAAATCTTTGCAAGATTGGTCCCTAGCCGAGTACGTTGGACGTACTCTATGAGTACATTGGGCGTACTGGCTCTCAAGGTGGTCGCGGAGGCGCCCACGTACGCTGGGCGTACATGGGACTACGCGGATCGTACGCTCAGCTGAGACAAATCATAATTTTTAGGGTTTGTACCCTATTTAAGCACCTTAAGTTGCCTTTGGGGTTTCTTATGACCAGGCTCCATCTCGCAAACCCTAAGAACGAAACCCTAGCCTTCTTTTGAGTGTTTGTGATCCACTATTGTAAACTTGAGGTGTTTTTGGACCCTTTGAAGAAGGTGAAGCTTGGTGTGGAAGCCTTGGTGGACTTGGAGCTTAAAGATCCAGAATCTTCATCAACTTTTCAAGCCATTTGAGGTATAAATCTCTTAACTTGATGAATCCTTTGGTTAGATCTAGTTAGGGCTTGTTTTTATGCTTTTTATGGTCCTTTAAGCCATGCTTGAGAGTACGAGCTACTCCAGAAGCTAGGGATGGTAGATCTTGGAATTAAAAATAATAATAATAATAATAATAATAATAATAATAATAATAATAATAAATCTTGATAAGTCATTTTGGCCCATGCATGAGTTAGAGTTACTCTTATGGTTCTTTTTGAGTTTTGGGCCTAATTAAGTCATGAAAGTGTGTAAAGTTGCCAACTTTACATGTTAAGACACCATTTAGGATCAGATTTGATAGATTGACTTAGTCGCTTAACCAATTAAGTGCTTAATGCGATGGGTTGGTCGTCTATGAAGTACGTTGGGCGTACCCAGCTCGTACGTTGCGCGTACTAGCCCATGATGGGTTTTGGGCCCAACTAGGAAGTTGTGCCATACTTGGACTTTTAGGGTTTGGGCCTTGTTGGGCTAATAGTCTTTTGACCTTGGGGCATTATAAGGCTTTGGGCCTTCTTGGATTAGGCTCGTGATTAGTTTGGGGCCCAGTTAGGAAGTTGGGCCATATTGGCCTTTTTAGTGCTATTGGATTGGGCCTCGGGTTTTGGGCTAAATGAGGAAAGGGTAAAATGGACTTTTACCCTGAGTGTTGGATATTCGGACTAGGATTCCAGCTATGGGATATGGACCAATTATTAATTGGGTATTATTTGATGTTGCTAGCGCGGGGGTTTTCCGGATCTGCAGTCCGAGCTTTTATATGAGATATTCAGCAGCTTGAGGTGAGTTTCCTCACTATGCTTGACAGATAGAAGGGATCAATGTTTCCTCACTAGTTGTTTGTGTGACTCTTGCATGTGTTGTATGTGATATGTATACCGGGGTGGGGGGGGATGCCAGGTGAGGCCTGATGTATGTATTGTATGTTATTTGTCTTAGTGATTATTGCATGTGTCTATGTGTCTATATGTATACCGGGCGGGGCCTGATGGATGTGATGAAGTGTGGCCCATCTCATGATATTGACGGATCTGTTCCGGGCGGGGCTTGATGGGTGTTGGGCAATAGCCCATTTTATGTTAGATATGTGTGGTATGTGGTGTTTTTGGGAACTCACTAAGCTTTGTGTTTATGGTTTTCAGTTATGTTTCAGGTACTTCCAGATCAAAGGGAAAGAGCTCGGGATGATCGCATCGCACACACCATATTGTTTCACATTTTATTTGACTTTGATGTATTTGGATGTTTTGGTCATACTCTGATTCTATTATGGTTTTATGAACATGTTTTGAATGATCGTTTTATTATTCTAAAAATTAAAATTTTTGGTCTTAATTTTTGGGACGTTACAATAGCTATAATGGTTTTTCTGATTTCAATATGAGCTTAAGATTTAAAGAGTAAATTTCTTTTGTTTCTTTTTCTTTCTTACTTTTGGTTCTTGCAAGGGTTATCAAGTTTAAACCCAACTTGTAGACTTTAACAATATAATAGACATGAAATTTAAAATAACATGATTATAGGTCACAAACTCATGTAATGTACTCTAATAAATAAAAAAAATATCACTTGCCACACTTTCATTTATTTTCTCACGTGTCATTTCGTGATTATTTTAAATTAAATTTTTTCTAGGTGTCATTTAATGATTTTTTTCAATTTTATTAAATTCCACGTAATATTAAATTTAATATATATCTTTTCACACCTCGGATCCTCACCATATTTAAAGAGGTGGAATGAATTATTAGCATAACCCAATCCCCCGTCAATAAGTAGATTATGTCCACTTATGTATTTAGCCTCGTCGCTAACCAGAAAAAGTGCAGCATATGCAACATCATCTGTTTTGAGAGTCACACCCTTAAGGTTCGCTTTTAAGCTCATTGCGTTATCCAAACCCTCTTCAAGCCCAAAAACTTTTGTGGTTAATGGTGTGCTTATTCCATAAGGTGCCAAACAATTGACTCGAATGCCAAATTGTCCGAGCTCTACTGCTAGGTTCTTGGTTAGACCAACTATTGCATGCTTTGAACAACAATAAGCATGAGAAGTCATACCACCAAGATGTGAAGCAAGGCTGGACATTGATATTATTGTGCCCGCTCTCTGTGGAACCATGACTCTAGCAGCATGTTTCATGCCAAGAAAGACGCCTGTGACGTTGACACTAAGTACGCGTTCAAAGACTATTTTCTCATTGTCGGTAATACGTGCCTTCATAGGATCTAATACCCCTGCATTGTTAAACATGATGTCAAGTTTTCCATAAGTAGTAACTGCAGTATCTACAGCGTTTTTGATATTTTCTTCGTTAGTTACATCACAATGGACATATATCGAGTTTGATGAGCCAATCTTCTCACAAACCGATTGACCAAGTTGGTCTTGGATGTCTGCGATGATGACTTTTGCTCCATGTTCGGCAAAAAGCTTTGCGGTACACTCGCCAATACCACTTGCTGCTCCAGTTATTAATGCTACCTTTCCGTCTAGCCTACATGATTTGTATAAAAAATATCATATTCATATATTATTTGAAATGCAAAATTATATATAACAAATACACCTACCGTTCCTTCTAGCTAATATGCCACTCGCTAGCTGTTCTGGTTAATTATTAGTGATATCTTTCTTTATCAATAAGCAATACGTAATTTAACATTGTTAAACGTTGTACAAATTTTAGATTCCATACTCTTTTTTTATCAGTAATTTAAGAAATTCAAAATACCTTGCATGTAATAATTCTTGAGCGATGACAAGAAAAATAAGTTGTTAACATAATATCCAAAGTTTATATACAGTATGTCAAAACCATCAATACAAGAACTTACCTTTTTGTAAGACTTGTCATTAATGTCTCCGAAAATACGAAGAGAAATATATAAATATGGTTTGGAATTGTAAGGAAGTCGAAGCTTAAGAGTTATTATATAGTGCAGATTTGTTTGCAAACTTTTTTGTAGTTTAATGTCATCGCTCAAGAATTATAATTTAGTGGTGATTAATTGACCTACTTCCAATGGGTGAAGGTCGATGGTTAATATATAGTGGAGATTTATTGACCGGCGATGCTGAAGAGAGACTAAAAATTTATTTAACACTGTATCATAAATGCAACCCCTATTGTGTCTACATTAGCTTCTTGCTATTGCAGGCGCTCTTTTTTTTTTTTTTTTTATAACAATAGTAATGTTACAATTATTTTCAAATTAACAAGGCAGGAATTTTCAGGGTCTATAAGCCTTGCCATGGCCGACCTCAATTAATGCGTGACTACGTCGTATCCAAAACATTCATGGCGGCGGCAATGTTAGGTGTGAAGCCTAATTGCGGATCAAAGTGCCCAAGACACATTATGGTACAAGTTTTTTTTTCTAAGGCACTTATTTTTTTATATCATATATGGAATATTGTGTTTTTATTAACTTTATTTATTATTTGGTATTATATAACTTTTCTAAAAACTTGATATATTTAATATAACTATATTTGTTAAGGCCAATGTTTTAAAAACTAATATTTTAGTTGAACCGGGATCGTGACCGTTCTCGGTTTGACCGTCGGAATCAACCGGTTTCTATGATTTTCATATTTTTTTCTTATTTTCTTATACATATATACATAGATACATAAATAAAAAATTTGACGTTCACGAGTTCAAAAATTAAAAATACACATAAAAACAAATTGTAGATCAATCCAAATAAATTAACATAACACATAATCATAAGTTTTACATCAATCCACATAAATCAAAAATAAAATAAAGTATAATACCGAAACAAATTTAGTTTTAGATAAATTTAAACGCATCAAAAAACTTAATAACATTTACTATATGCTTTTATTTAGAGAAATCTAAATAGATATGCAAAAAAACCACCAAAGTTTATTATGCAAAATGATTCTTTTCGATATGTTTTTATTCTATTTAACCGGTATATTTAAACGGTTCAACCGGGTTTTTGTAAAACCGGCCGGTTCGTTTCAGTTCAGAAATAGGCGTAAAACCGATGATAGTTGAACCGCTCCCTTCCTTGTTTCTCGGTTCAACCGGTTCGACCGGCCGGTTCAAACTGTTTTTTAAAACATTGGTTATGGCCAAGATCCTCAACACTATTAAGGATCCCAGATCTTCAAGAATACTTAGGATCCCGAACATATCTCAGGATCCTGACCATTATCATTATTATTATTTCCTAACATTTTTAACGGATACATTTCTAGTCTTCTTCTCACAAGTGGAAAAATAGTCAACATAATACTAGTTCTTAACGAATAAACGCTTTTACCAGGAAGAAGACCCGGAAATACCAAGTCAATCCAACGTGTTCATTTTTATTCGAGAGGATCCCGAAAATATGGGACTTATGGTTACTTAGACTAGACTATAAATAATATGTACTTCGCACACTACACACGGCTAGACTCACTGCAATACTTGTACTCCTTTACATACTTTCATTTCTATAATCCACCTTTCAATTAATACAATTAAAGAAGGCAGATGATCATTATCACATCCTAAGGTTTTGTGCCGGAGATCCTAGCAAGGATCAAAGATTTTCTTTGTAAACCGCTTGTGTAACTTTGTTCTAATTTAGATAATCACTTCAACAGCAACACCACAGCCTCTCATTCACCTTGGTTAACATTCATTAGATTAATTTTTCGACCAAAACAATATTATTAGACAAAATTGCAAAAATGGTTCTTATGGTTGTCAAAGTTATGTGGTTTTGGTCCAAAAATGTTTTGTGATGCAAAAGTGGTCCAATTTTGGATACCTCGTGCGTTTTTTGTCCAAAAGTGTTAACTTTAACAGTTTTACGGTTAACTATTTTAAAATGACAACTTTACCCTCAGGGACCATTTCTGCAACCAAACTACAAGTATCATTTATGCATCTCTTATTTTTTATTTTATTCAATTATTATACTTTAATTTTTTTAATAATTATTTTTTAATTTCTTTTTATTATATTACTTTTTTATTTTATTATTATATATTAATAAATATTATATTTAAACCTATAGTATTTATATATTAATAAATATTATGTTATTGGAATATTAGTTACATTTAGATAATTATATTTTTAATTTCTTTTTTAATAGATTATTTTTATTGATTTTTAAATATTAATAAATATTATTTTAAAGATATAATATTTATATATTAAAAATATTACTTTATTGGATTATTAGTTTCTTTTAATTTCTTTTTTATTTGATTAATTTTATATTGGGTTATAATTTATTGATATTTATTGTTTTTAATATATAAATAATTATATATTAATAAATATTAATATATAATTATGGTGAAACAAAAAAGGGTTAAAACGCGAGTCTATCCCCAATGGTGATCTCCTGCCATGGAACTGGGTTAAAACGGGTGGGATTTATTATTTTTAAGGATCCCGAAGTTCACATTTTCTTATGTTTTTTGATTTTATGCAGCTTCTAAGTTTGAGGAACTTGCTCCTACCTCCGAAGAGACTGAAGAAAAAATGGAGTGTTTTCTTGTGTTGCCTGTAATTGAAAGAACCTTCAAGCTTAAGCAATCCAGCCTTCAAGAAAGTTCACCCACCACTCTCACAATGCCAAATGGTAAGGATCCTAAGTTTATTTTGACTTTAAGGATCATGAAATTATGAAGATCCTTTGTAATTCGTGGGATCAAAGGCTACATGTTGCAGCGCTCGCTTCTTCCTTTCTGAACATTATGAGGCCATGTCTAGCGGTCAGCTCGTGGTCAAGAAAGAAAAGAATTCCCCTATTATCTTCCTCTGAAGAAAGCTTCAATTGATCTAGTCATCAAGATGCCAGGATCTATGAAAAGGAAGTCGGTTGAGACCATGGATTTTAGCTTGGAGAACCTTGGGGTAGAGGAGGCATTAAAGAAGCTGATCTCCTTCTTGCAAACAGAAGGAGCATGCCCAGGAGATTGAGTATGTGATCACCAAGATTATGATCAGCGCTTCCGAGGTTATCTGGCATGCGAATATCAAAATGGCGGAGGATGTGGAGAAAGGAGACACGGGATCCTGGAACATAGCCGGTTGGCGTGAAGCCCTGGGAAGAAAGAAGAGAATGAGACAGAGGAGACCCCGGATGGGGGGAATCAAACCTTGAATTAATTTTGATTAGTTAAAAAAATTCTAAATTTTGTTCTATAAAACAATATTTCTTTCGCTGGGTTGGTGGTTAACCCATTTTAATTTTTATTCTTTGGTTTTATCTATCTGCGTGAATGGTTTGGTTGTAGAAATAGGTTTTTCAAAGGATCTTCGCATGACCAAGATCCTAGAAAGTTGTTAGGATCTTAACACCTGAGATATAAGGTCTTTTGATCAGGATCTTGAAATAGTTAGGATCCTTATGCTCTAAGGTTAAAAAGTCTTGAGGGTTGTAAGAGAATCTTTAAGAAAAAGAAATATTCACGACAACTTTAAAGATGACTTCAAGCGTAGATTAGAAGATAAAGATAGATAGAACCTAGTGGTAGATTTTGAATTCCCTTTCTTAAGATTCAATCAGACTTTTAGTTGTCTTCTTGAATTCTTCTGAGGAATATTGAAATGTCTTAGCATTTCATGATCCCTTTAAATACATTCTGTGGGAAAAATCCTAACTTAGAAATTTACTGTGAAAGATCCAAACATAGAAATTCATAGGGGGAAGTTCAACTTGTAAATTTACTGGGGAAAATCGCAACTTAGAAATTCATAGGGGAAGATCCCAACTTAGAAATTTATTGTGAAGATCCCAACTTAGAAATTTACTAGGGAAGATCCTAACTTAGAAATTTACTTGGGAAGATCCCAACTTAGATATTTATTGGGGAAGATCCCAACTTATAAATTTAGAGAAGATCCCAACTTAGATATTTACTGGGGAAGATCCCAAATCATAAGATAACATGATAATGTTATAAACCGTAGATTAACCTTTAGGATCTTAACATATGTTTAGAAATACGAGGATTTCCATGTCACTAAAGAGTGAAATGATCCCCTTATCCACATTCCATAGTTAGATATTGTGTGTCCAAGCGGATTGTAGAAACCCAACCACGAATGAAAGAGGTTATTAACTCTTTAAACCTTAGAGGGGATTAAGTACCATTGATAAGAAGAGAGATGATCAATCTGTTATTTGTGGTTTCCAATATTTTTAGGTTTATGCATGTTGAAAACCATAGCTTGGGGTGGGCATTAGCTTGGCTAACGCCCCTCCGATGCTTAAGTCAGTAATGTTCTTGGAATAAAAATAAACAAAGGAAAGAAATAAAGGTAAGGAGTAGGTACATACCTTGATTTTGCTATAATGAAATCTAATGAAATCAATTACATAAAGTATGCTTTGAGGTGTATAGCATTCTAGGATCTTGGAAAGATACTTCCTTCTAGAGTAGCTAGCCAATATGCCCCTTTCCTGCTTCTGAATCAATGAGATAAGGTCATTCCCATTTGGGTGCTAGTTTAGCTACTTTAGGATCCTTAGTATTCTGAAATACTTTTCTGAGGACCAAGTCACCTACTTGGAATATTCTAACTTTGATACATTTATTGTAAGTTTTAGCAATCCTTTATTGGTAGGCAGCGATATGGATCTTGACGAGGTCTCCCGGTTCATCAATCGTGTCAAGATCCTAAGCCAATATTTCATCCTTATTATCTTGAGTATGGAGTTGGTATCTTGCCGTTGGATATTCTATTGTTGATAACATTATATGGACTGGTAGGATCCTGATAGAAGATCCTAGATTGGCTAGTATGTCTGCTTCGACATTATCTTCTCTAGGAAATTTGATGGTTGTAGTTCCATGATTAGTGCTTCATATTCTGCTTCATTGTTAGTTGCATTGAATTCACAACTAACTCCCT